CCTGCTTGCTCAACTCAATAAAAACCGTGTCTATCAATTCCTTTTCTGCGGAATTAGAAGGACTGCCTTCCCGTGTTAAACCTGACGATAAGTGACGCGCAAATTCCTGGTTTCAATGCAATGAAAACCAAAACTGTCTCGTGATACGGTACTATTAATGCGAATTAATTAATGACATGATAAATAATATACAAACCTTGATTCGTGAGATATCTGGGTTGGGACAGTCGTCAAGGCATTTCCAGATATAAGTGCATCAAATAGGAATATGACAGCGCTCGGCTGCGTCGAAATACACCTTACAATCAAGGTGCTTCAAAAGGGGACAGCTCACCGCTATGTCAAAGAGAGAATATGATCAAACTATACGCAGTGAAACAATTAAGTCCAGTCAGATAGTGATATGAAGCTCCCAAAAGATGAGCCAATCATAAGAGAGTTGGGCGCTCACAATTCGACCTCTTAACAAATTTCACTATGTGAGGCAGCTCTCAGGTTTTCTAAAATTAAGCCGAATCATCTTGGAAGGAAGCAAATGAGGAAGGTCATACACAGACTGGAAATCCAAAGCGATTCCCTTTGCCCAAAATCTAGGGTTTCCAGTGTGTTTCTATGACCGGTTCGGTACATTTCTATTCATTTCCGACTGTATGATGATTGGCTTTTTGAAAATTCCGACGACTTCGCGGAATAACAAAAGTGTTCCATAAACGCTATCTATGGAAAATGAAAACATGTTTAGATCAAAAGTTGTGTGAAATAATCCCTACCCCAAGAATCATTCATCAAAATTGATCACAGTTGAGGATAACTACTCTATGTCTGATAGGCAACTGTACACGGACCAAACGAGAAGAACCTAATCTGGACACATCCGTCCACGAAAAGTGGAGACGAGGATACGGATCCCGATGAACAATCGACTTGGACCAATAACCCAAATCTGTTTTTCAACACTCAGGTGTTGCTTGACAAACTGACATAAAACCGTCACGTCAGATTGTGGAACTTCAGACTACATCGGTGCAGGCAGTACAGCCCAGTAAACAGTGGAGTATGAGTTGAGATGAAAAGGACAAGTTCAAACAGCCATGCCAATATAACACGAGAACTGGGACAAGAATGATAATCAGCTTGAAGTTCCACTTGAAGTTCCGTTCGAGAACTACTTTCTTCATCACCATAGACGCCTACATTACAGTTAAACTCATGTTGGTTTGTGGCAAGAGACATACTCTCATGGTCAATTGAGAGGATCCTAATACCACGTTCATTTACATAAGAAGCTTTTCGTTGAAATTAATTCTATAAATGTTTCAAAGCATTCCGAGGCTGATAATTTCTCTCTTTAAATAATCCTCATTCACTAGATTAGTCATGATCTCGAATGTCTCACAGTTAACTTGGTCTCTCACGGCAAGGATGCTTGCTGGATAATCAGTAAGCCCGATGTAAAATTTTCTGTCCTTGATGAATGATGGTGACCCGGTATTAACCTAGCCAAATTAGCACACAGAGGACGTGTGTTCGATTCCTAATACTGCTGCCTGACTTTCCATCTGTATGCTTTTATTGGACCGCTTTGTATATTCAATAAAAGGAATTAAAAACAAAAATCATATAATCAGATGTACAATACATTAGATCTATGAATTCAATGAATTAGTTAATTACACTGACTAAACCATGCTCATTTAACACTTCAATATGGTCGTTCATACTGCTGCATCCGAAGAAAACTCGTTATTTACATTTTTGTCAGGATACCAGTTTTGCACATCGATATAATATATAGTTACATCAAATGAATTGATCAATTTATGATATGAATCCAACTGTGTTTAGCCTGTGCGTAGTAAAACCGATCCTTCTTTGGCTATTGCTGTCTGAACAATGCTTGGTGCGTAAACATTGTGACGAGTTATTTCAAATGTCAAAACTAAGCTGTCAGTTATCGAAACAGAAAACAGTTTTGTGCTATTTTTTCTACCTCTTTTCACATCTGTCAATGCCATTGTATCACTCTTTTTGATCTCTAAACGTCAATGACAAAGCAATAATCTGTCTACTTGATCGAAACAGTCGTAATTTATTGAACAAATAGGTAACGGCAAAAAATGTCTTCTATTTTGACCTCTGCCTCTTTGCTATGCAAACCAAATTTGGGCAGTCACCATTCTTATTTGCAAATCAATGAACGTTTACACCACCAGATCAGTCTGCATCATCAATCCGTGAGTTACATGTTCAATGTGAATGTTGCAATCGTTTCACCTTTATTTACCTTTTAAGTGTTTATTTTCTTATTTTTCAGATTTTAAGGATGTAAATCTTACTCAAACGAAAATCCCAGACGGAACGGTGGACTTGCATTATTGATGAGCTTTTAGCAAATCAAAAATCGAACCTGGGGCTTCCGAGTGTATGGCTGAACTGTGTGCGTGAAGTAGTCGGACGGATGTCAGTTCCTACCAATCAATATCAAGTATCGCACTCCACTACTCGCAAGTAACGGTGAGTTAAATGCGAATTAATGAGATTCCATGGGAAGTAAGTATCTCATGATGGTAATTTATCATCTATTTTATTTTACCGAAGACCGAGTAACGAAGCCCCGGTTTAATGGAGAACAAGCCATTGTGGTTGAACACGATTTAATTCCGGAATAAAATTCACTGCATCATAGCCTTTACCTACTGCAGAAAGTTGAATATTATTACATTACAGCTGATGATATTTTGATACAATACTTATTCGCCCTTTGGTTAACCTAGTTACCATGACAACACCATCCCCATCCGCAGACATAGTAGTGTATAAGTTCAGTGCTTGATTACTACAGTCTCTATAAATCCATTCAGAATTGTGTAAATGCCCAACGAGTGGACGAAATGACCTCGTTTCTGGCTTCTCAAATATCAACACGATCCAATCCACATTGTTTTCAACAAATGTGATATTTGATTGCGACAACTTTTTATTGATTTCATATTTGTTTCAAACTTAATTTTCTAATGATTAATCACCCGGGTAGGTAACCTTGCACTGAGGATTTTCAACTGACGCTTTGTTTTTGAATATTTGCCGTAGGACATGAGATGTGACAGACAATTGTGGAACAGATATGATCAGATTGCACCTAATTATCACAGGTGAACGCGTGTGCACCATGGAAACTTCATTTTTGCGTCTTCATGATTCAACCCATCCAGGAGTTGACTATTTCCACTACCCCATCAATTAGTGAGTTAGTCGGATTATAATTCCATAGCAAGTACATTTCAATGAAACACGTAGATTGGCGAATAACTTCTACCTCCGTCACATCCATCGTATCGAACATAGAACAGACGGTTACTTTGCAAAGTTTATTTGCTAATTAGAAATCGATGTAATTTAATTCAAATTTTCAAATTCGTAGCCACATGCTCATCTATGTAACCACAGATTTTTCCTATCCTTATATGAAACTTTGAAGCACAATCTAACTATTTTCTATTTTCTTGGATTGAGACACTTGAACCCTTCGCACGTTACCCGACAACTCAGACCAAGTGAACTTTATCACATTATACAAAGTCTGTCTTGCGATGACTGGGAACAATGAATTGTGTTTCATCACCATCGAAAGGGCTAAGCAAACCGGTCAACTCCCTTCCACCACTTTCACAGGTGATTCCAGAGTGGGGACCAGCGCATTGAATGGATTGATGAACTATGGGTGTTCCTACCTTCCCATTTGGCCCAATTGCCCGGGATTCAATTAAAAATTGATTAATCTGTTACGTCACTTGGATGGCAGCCGGCTGAATGACCACGCTCATATCAGGTGCTTCGTTTAGACAAAAACACGCCGGTGGGTCGAATTTTCAGTTGCGATTTAGTTGCACTATTACTCGACGAAACTGTGTCTCATTTGACAATGGGTGATCACAACTCATAAGCCCGTCCAATTTGGATCGATCCGGTTCGAAGAAAATACTCTAAGCATCGTTCAAATTCGCTCTGTGAGGACTAGGACAGTTGAATTCCTCTCACGTGTCCCGAAAGCCTAGAACTGACGTGTTCAGTCAGACCAAGTGTGTTTTTTCATTGTCCATCAAGTCCATCTTGCAATAACTGATAATGTTGAATTGTGTTTCACGAGCATCACAAGGTCAACACAAAGCAGTCGGTCTTCGCCAATGCAAACACAAACGATTCTTGGGGGAGTGTAGACGGCTAGTTGTGATCACCTATTGCCATACAGGCCTTCCATACGATGGGTCCGGAGTTCAAGTCCTGGTGTATATACACTGCTGATAAGCTCTAATAAGGGCGAAACTCGAGCGTAGTTTCCGGGTGTATGGTTGACTGGAAGAGCTGACAATTGTGTGCGAAGACGAAATCTGAAGCATAGTCAGTCCCAATCAATCAAAAATTGGTTTATTTGATCATAGTTGTGCAAATCATGCGAAATTAAATGCTAACCATGATTGGTTGACTTTCCCATTATTAACCAACATATTCCTTTCACAGAGGTTTTCAATAATCAGTCGTGTATTTGAAAACGTTCTAGGGCTTTCTTTTGACCATGTGTTTATATTAGGCGATAGAATTTAAAATCAAGAACTTGGACATATTCTGTCTAAAACAGATCGTGTTCTCAAATCGTGCTTCCATTTTTATCGATAAACCGAGACAGTTGGATTGCGATCATCACATGACCCCGCCCAATCTGCATGCATCTGACCTCTTTTTCTCCTAATGCAGATCGCATTCTCAAAACAGTTACCGACCGTGTACTTTATACAACCAAAGATAGGACTACCGTGAGAGTAAATGTTTGTGTGCTATTCGGTTGCCCCCTGGAAATGTGCGTAAAAGTGCATGTCCTCATCCGAATTCTACCCATCGGTGGCATGTGTCTTCCGCTGGCACTTAAATATCCGTAGTTGCAAGTGTTTCTCGTTACTCAAGGGATATTCTTTGTCAACCAGGTCATCACTGCCGACTTAAACATGGCTGGCTCGTTTAACGGTCATTGTCTAATCAAGAACGTGGTCATGTCCAAAGAAATGGAGCGGTTCGCGCTGGATACGTTCCGAACGGCCACTTCACAGTTTAGCATGTCTAAAGAGATGGCCACAGCGATGAAACGAGCGTTTGACAGAAAATACGGTCGAAATTGGCATTGTATTGTTGGACGAGATTATGGCAGGTGAGTGGTGTGTGTACACAAACCGGTGTGAATGTTATTTTTTGGTTCCTGAATTCGCCGGGACGTGTTTCTGAGTGTGAGAATCACATGTGGATGTTGTTTAGCGTTCAAGGATACAAGGTCAGGTGAACGTTTGTTTTGGAAACTTCTGCTAAGCTAAGTAGTTTCGCGGAGAGAGGAACGTAAAACAACAGAAAATGGTTACAACGCTCTCATCGTTGTGTACGTGTGGGTGTGTATCAACTACACATTTCCCATCCAGCTTTAGCCAAAACCGGCAATTCTTTAACCTCGAAACCCGTAATGCTTTGGCCAAAACCCACAATCTTTTAGCCTCAACGCACAAACTTTAGTCACACCGCAGTAGACGAGTCAGATCAAAGTATCGGAATATTCTAAAATTAACGGATGTTGAAAAAATTATTTTCTATAAATGTTGCTGTTGCAAAGCTTGGTTAAGAAATAAAAAGGTGTTGGGGGTTGCATGCTGCAGCACATGTTGATTGGCATAGCCTTATCCAATGTGCCTGTATCGTCAAACCATCTGATACATCTCTTACAGCTTCAGTGTTTCTGTATAACACGCGATACTCCTAAGAGTAAAACCCTCAAGTGTAACTCAAGCGATATATTTTTTTGCATTAATAAATAGACTCTGTTCATCAGAACGGGATACAAAAGCCTGCTGAGGATAACAAACCGTTCGTAAAAGTACACCCTCATAACTATCATCAATTTATTAACGATTCAACGTAAGTTATAATTACCACGGTCGAGGCTTGATTATTGCCGGTTTTTGTCTATAGCTTCTTGAGAAACGATGTTCTAAAGGGGTCTTTTGTGAGTAGTGTATATTACCCTCGACCGTTTAATGTATCCATACGTCAAAAACAGAGTTCGCTTTAAGTGGATATACGAATCGGTAAGCATATGCCTTTTGAGTTATTTCAGGGCATGTGAATGCAAAACAATGTATCGTTTGAGTCACACATGAAATGTTTACTCCTAGGAGTATCGCATGTTTTACGGAAACATTGAAGCTGTACGAGCTGTGTCAGATGGTTTGACGATACGGGCACATCGGATAAGCCGTCTCCAATCAACATGTGTTGCACCATAAAACCCCCACACCTTCTTATTTCTTAAACAAGCTTTGTAACATCAATATTTATAGAAAATGTTTCTCAACATTCGCAGACTTCAGAATATTCCGAGACTTTTGATCTAACTCTTCTACTGCGGCGTGGCTACAGTTTGTGCGTTGAAGCTAAATGACTGTGGGTTTTGGCTTAAGCCTGATGGGAAAAGGTGTAGAATGAACTAAGATGGTTTCTTTGCAGTTTAAGATGAAAGCAAACAATAACACTGTCCGGTCATGGCAATCATAAACTGCGTTCACGTTTTCACACTAACACGAATTGCAACGAACGACACGGGCGTTTTCGCTCACCCAAATCAGGGACTGAATAGGTATAACCTTAACAATGTTGAGTGCGATGTAGCCGGTGTATGTCTGGATCCATTAGGACTCACTTAAAAGTTAACTTCAAATGTTTACCTGGGGGTATCGGTGGTGGCTGTTTTATACTATATGAACGGTGAGATAGCGTCCTTGATCGAACTGCATAAAACCAACGCAGATTATTCGGCTTCATCCTTGTAGATATTTTTCAAGCCATGGGATTGAGATAAAGTCACAAAGTAATTCTGTGTGAGAACATGGGGCCAAAATCTCCAATCTACTGGGGTTACTTTGTAGTTCAGAATCTCGGGGTTGATTCTCTTTGAGCCCTTTATAGTGTTAACAATTTCTTTTCGGGTTTCTCTCATACTCCACCACCCGGGAAGTATATTACGGGCATTTTATAGCTAGCCATTTGCGAACGATAACTCGCTCATACAGCCTAAATTTACGTCACTTTTGCATCACGAATGAAAACATGCTTTTCCCAGCCTTTTTTGAAGTCAATTGATACTAACGTGTGAAATGTAACTAGTTGAAAATCGATTGATCATAACGAGATCCCGAGGTTCGCATGCCCGGTCGTGCTGTCTCTTCGAGGCTCTATTAAAACTAACTAGGAAAACGAATTGGATCGATGAATATCGTTTGCATTTGCACATAGATTTAATTAGTCTCAGTTAATTTGTCAAAATTCATTGCATGTTGAGCTTCAAGTAGCAGCGAATGCCTGACTAGGACATGCGAGTAAATGAAATTACTGCAATGGATGCGGCACCCATATGTTAGCTTGAAAAAACACAATGGATGCGCAAGTAGCGTCACAAATCTTTGGTATGGTTGAATCTAGTCGGTTTTGGTAGGATATAGGAATGCGGAGATCATTGAAGCCAGGACAGCGCAGTTCAAGGACAACAAAAGCAGATACGATAACCCTCGATTCACTATGATGTAACAAATGCAACTGGAAAAGGGAATCAGTGACAAAAATAACAGCTTCTCTCCAAAAAGAGAGAAGATTCATCTACTCTAGTACCCTCGAAAACTACAAAAGTCATGCACTCAAATGACCATAGCCACACGTCGTGCCCGCTGCTTGAATCCGTACGCCCGTGAATTTTTCCTTTTCTTACTACATCTTTTCCCATCAAACTTTAGCCAAAACCCGTAATCCTTTAGCCTGGACCTACATTCATTTAGCCAAAACCTGTAATCCTTTAGCCTCGACGCACACACCACTGTAGGCGAGTCAGAATAAAAACTATCGGAACATTCTGGGCTGAACGAATGTTGAAAAAAATTATATTTTACAAATTTTGATATTGCAAAGCTTGACTTATAAATGAGAACGTGTGTCGATCGTATTCTGCGCAGTTGACTGCAGTAACGATATCAAATGCCGGGCAACGCAATCCTGAGACTGTATATTGACGAGGCCAAATACAACGTATGGTCCTGTCGCAGCTATGGAAGATCCAAAGATGGCTGTAAAGCCATTAGAAGCTTCCCGTCCAGCAAAGGACCAAACTTGAACATAATAGCATGTTCATCTGTCGCCGGTATCCTGAAATCTGAATTTCATGCAAAGATTACTTGGCATGTTTTCAATGGATTTATATCAAGTTGCTCTACACTAATCGCTACTGAGCAGCCGGGTGTTTTCATCTTTGACACTGCGCCCGTTCATCGGAGAGCTTTGGATGCGCAATTAAATGTCAACCACCAAGTCCGATTTCTTCCACCTTAAAGTCCCTTTTTTAATCCATTGGAAGAGATCTTCAGTAAATTCAAATAAGTGAGCTATTTTAATCCTTTAATTCGCTTATTATTTAGTACATTAAAAACTGGGTTAATGAAAACATTGAAGTTATACGAGATGTACCAAATGGTTTGACAATACGAGCACATTGTCTAAACCTACTCCAATCACTATGTGGTGCGGTATTTGATACTGTTACTACACTCAACTGCGCAGCATACGATCGTCACACCTTCTCATTTATTAGTCAAGCTTTGCAATATCAAAATTTGTAAAATATAATTTTTTTTCAACATTCGTTGACCTCAGAATATTCCGATAGTTTTTGTCCTGACTCGCGTACAGCGGTGTGACTAAAGGTTGTGCGTTGAGGCTAATGGATTGCGGGTCGAGGCTAAAACATTTCGGGTTTTCGCTAAAGGAATGTGGGTTTTGGCTAAAGTATTTCGGGTTTTGGCTAAAGGGTTGTGGGTTTTGGCTAAAGCTTAATGGGAAAAGGTGTAATAAAGTTTGCACTTTGATCTAGTTGATATGACACAATACCTAATGATCTATTCATGCTTTACCCGATGATTCATTAAGGCAAAATTTCGGCTGCAATTCATTTGCACTTGTATTCGATTAAATTTTGTCGGATGGCAATGGGTGACCACAACTCATAGGTCAATTCACACACTTCCCGAATCGTCTGTGTATCTGGTACGGAAAGCCGACAGCTCTGTTTAGACCTTTCGCTGTTCGTTAAAATCCACTCACAGTTGTCAATCATTGCAAGCTGGATTAAACGGAAGATGGCACAGACTTGGTCTGGCTTAACGCATCAAGTTTGATTTTTCGGGAATGATGCGAAAAAAATCAACCGTCTAAATCAGTTAAAATAGAAAAAGCAAGTTTTTCCGTGAAGAAATGCAACGTTTTCTACAAACCGCACTGCTTCAGAGTGGAATAAATACAATTCGGATGACGCCAGTGACTACAGAGCAGTTGATTAATAACAGTCCATCTCACCCCACGGAAACTTTCATTCTCGCTCGGTAACTAATTCAAAAAAATTCAAAAATTACTTTGTTTACGCAGAAGTTAGTTCATTCGGACTGGACGGTGTTTAGCCAGACGCGGTTGAATCGGTGACGTTTGACGGGCAAAACACCAATCATCTTGTGGGG